TGTGTGGTATGTGTGTATATATGCATGTGTGTGTGTATAATATATATAATATATATAAACAGTAAAGAGAATATAATAATAATAATAATGATAATGATATAATAATAGAATATAATATAAACGGTATAGTTCTTTATAATAGTAATAATAATTATAATAATTTATAAGTATGAATAAGTAAAAATTTACTCGTGACTGGTCTGTATGGCCTCCTTGAAGTTAGTACTCCACTTCCAGCCATACTAAAAAATTAATATCACTTTCACTATCCGTGTTAAACTGCAATTTGTTTCGTAATTTTTTTGGTTTTATATTTTTAATTTCTTAATTTTTTTTTACACAAAATAGCTTGCGTAACCCGCGTCGCTTGTGATTTTTTTTTTTTTGAAAAGAGAGACAGAGAGAGACAGAAAGCTTCCAACAAGGAAACCTCTCTCTCACCTTGCTTGTTATCAGACGCGTCTCGGGAACGACAAGATCGGTGTGCCGTCAAGACGAATTTATCGGATACCCGATGAAAAAAAAAAAATAAATAAAAAGAGATTGGTCGTATGCGACGCAGATTTCCGTCGTTACATCACAACTAACACTCATGAATGATCTGACAAAACATCGTGATTGGTGTCGTCGAAGATGAGAACAAAACTGATCTGCGCTCTACGCCACGGGGCGATTTCACAGCTCTTCTCACCTCTTGCGCATTTTTTATGAATAAAAGTTCGTATACTTTTCTCCTTTTATCACAGCGAAGGTTCGATCTGTATTGCGAGAAGCGACACAAGGCGAGGCTGCAAGATCGCTTTGTGGAATAATAGGACAGTGTTCGCTAAATAATTCGGAAGTAGATAAGCAACGCGACGTTTGAGCGAACGTTGCACTCTTTAAAGTTAACTAATTTTCGAATCGCTCTCGAAACGAATGAACGACGATGAGAAAAAACAGAGAAAGAGAGAGAAAAAGAGAGAGAAAAAAAGAGAGAAAGTAAATCAGAAAGAGAGCTAGGGAGAGGAAGAAGCTCGAGACAGCCGATTCGAGCGATTCGATTCTCCCAATAATCATTGAACGGTAAGCATCGACGACTACGAATGTTTTGTCACACCATGCGCTAAATGTATAAAAAATATCTATACTATCGGGACACACAGCAAACATTGAAAATATTGGTTTTGTGGGTAATAAGGTGGATGGGTCATATCACAGAGAGAGAGAGAGAGAGAGTGAGAGTGAGAGAGAGAGAGAGAAAGAGAGAGAGAAAGAGAAAGAGAAAGAGAGAGAGAGAGAGAGAGAGAGAGACATAAGTTGCAGGAGAGTTGCGTTTTTGACTTCCGCCGAACGCTTTTATTGCGCTGCTAGATCGTCGCTTCGTAAAAAGATGAAAGACGTTGAAAAATGTTAAATAACGACAAAATTTCGGAAAAGGAGGAAAGAGGTAAAGATGCGCGAGCTCGAAAAAGATAGAAATAGATAAAGATAAGGAGAGAGAAAGAGAGAGAGAAAGAGAAAGAGAGAGAGAAAGAGACAGAGAGAGAGAGAGAATGAAAGAGAAAGAGAAAGATAGAAACAGAGCCATCATCGTATTTCGCGTTCGGTCAGCACTGTTTGTTTCCCGGGAGGACCGTGTGTAGAAGATGGCAGCAGAAAGACTCGATGGTATTTCACACGCGACCGAGCGGAAATGAAAGACACTGGCGTTCCCTGGATCGTCGTCGCTGCGAGATGGTACTTGCTAAATAGGTTTTTCAGCGTAAACAAAGATTTTTCTGTGTGAATGTCGAAAATTTAATGGGATCGTGTTGTAATGCGTGTCAACTTTTCGTTATTCGCGATAATTCGCATCGGAAGCGCAATATTATTTGTAATACACTCTCGATGGAAACTACAAGTTAAACCGAATGCCGAAATAAATAAATTTCTTGTTTTTACAAAAAAATGTCAAAACTAACAAAAATAAGTATATTCGTTGAAATATGCATCACATACATAAGTGACAGAAGTTCTCAAAATGTGTTTCGCACAAATGCACTGTTGTACTCGTAAAGAAACAAAGCGATCGTTAAACCGTTCTTGACGAAGGATTTGCATCAGATTTTGCATTGTCTGGGTACTTTAATAGTTCCGGAACAGCTGGCAGTGTAGTTAAAAACGAGGTAAAATCGCGATCATTACGACGATTATTTTTTAATGACAGCGTAAGATTCGGCGACAATAATTCACTGTCAATTTGTCATTTGACAATAATCCGTCTGTAAGTTTGTAATTTTGCGTCACGCGAAAATAACACGTAAAATCGTGCATTGTGCAATTTTGAGGTTGCGTCTAATTGACAGTTCCGCATTCATTTACATAATCCACCTGCGAAAGCGTGAATTGTTCTCGGCAAAATCTTGCAACTGCGCGTTATCTACAGCTTGTTTATCATGTAAATAGTTTGTATAAATTATATTGTTGTTTGTTGGTTTTGCCAATTGTAATACACAACGTAGACGTTACAAAACTTTGAAACGTAACGCTGACACTAATTAATAATATCGCTATTTAAAATTTTATTATTGGATAAGTTTAAACAACAAAAATTTCTCGATTGTGTGATTGAAGCGTAAATTCACATATGCCAATTTCTCGTCGTCGTAAATGTATCTTTGTCGATTTGACAATCATCGTCACGTTACTTGTCTGACTATGTCGTCATTGTTTCATTCATCACTTCAAAATGATAAATTAGCGCGCGCGTTAGCTTTTCTTTAACATCTCAAATGTAGATTTCAATCTAATCTAATCACATAAAAATGCTCATTTTATTAAACATTATGCAAAAATACATATCTTTAATGCGCACTGTGTTTTCAACACAATGTAACCGGCACATGAGAGTAAGCGAATTTAAATTTAATAATATATTAAAGACACACGCAAAGATATATCTGAAACAAATTTCGCGAACAAAACTTGTACATTTAATTGTCAATTGTAATAAGTATATTGATAATATAATTTCACTGTTTGTGGCAGGATAGCATGCATATTACAATTTTACAGCGCGACTGCTCGATTTTATGGTGAAAATATCAAGCTTTACGCGCAATACAAGTCATAATTTATGATCCTATCGGACACGCGATGATATATGTCGAAACTTTAATTAACAATCAGGCACAGTCAGACAGAGTTTATAATGACGTCTATTTTCGGTTCGTGTGGTCTCGCGCATTGAAGCGATTTATATCAGTTATGTAATCCGCACGTCACAAATGTGCGCGTTATATATATATATATACATATATATATATATATATATATATATATGTAATATAAAAAATGTAATACATTTACGTTATACATTATACGTATAAATAATATACAATATTATTACGACGTAGATGTGTGTACGCAGAGAAAGAGAGAGAGAGAGAGAGACAAGTGTATTTTACGTATATGATTATAAGACATATTTATATATATTATGTACCAGAACAAAATCTCTATATCACTCGTTGCATGCGCTTGTATAGCATATGATAATAGGGATTACGGGGTTAAGCGGTGGTCGGAGAATAGTAACACGTCTCGCTGCAAAATACCATATCGGCTTACTTATGTGGGACAAGAAAGATCTACGTAAGCGTGGAGTGAATCTGATCGACGCTCTACTTTGTTGACAGGTAGCAAATGTTGCCGTCGTGATAAGAGACTATTTGGTGAACGAGTTCGCAATGGTGAAATATACAAGAAGCTGCGATGGGCACAATCCTAATTTTTCGCGTTTAAAAACTGGATAAAAATTTGTCGAGTAAAGAATTTGTGTGTATGTGTGTGACTGTTTTCTTTAAAAATTATATAAATTATTATTTTATTCAAAGAACACGGAAATTTAAACAAAATGTCTTTATTTAATAAAAACTATTGTAAAAAACTTTGTTTTGATAAAGTAAAATTATATTTTCACGATTTCTTCAAAATTGACAAATGTAACTAATAATCAATAAATAAGATAATTAAAAAAAAGTATTTTCCAGCACGGGCTTTGTATAATATACATAATAATTTAAAATAAAAAAAATAGAATCCACTATATAAATTATATATATGTTACCGTATCAATATGTGGTACGTAAAAAACTCTAAAAAACATTTTCAATAATTTTGTATTTTCTTTGGCTTTATTCACACATATATTTTACACACATTTCTTTCGGAACGCGTCGCTCTCTTACAGCAGCGAATCGTGACGTGTGCCCATCTCCTACCGAAAGCCAATGTTCCGATCACCACGGATCAGAGAGTATGTGCCGTGCCACTCGCGACAAAGTGTGCCACACGACAAAATGTGCACGCAACGAAGGAGGGATATGTACGAGGAGACTAGGATATCTCGTTTTTGTTTTCTATCTTTTCATTTTCAATCGTCGGAAAAATCCGACTCGACGATTCCCACGTACTCTCGAGGCAAATGACTCCTATCAAAAATCATTGGCGTTCGCGATCGAATCTCTATCCCGATACGCGTGTTCTCAACATAAAAGAAATCTTACGACCAGAACGCGCAATTCGGAAGAAATTTCTTTCAAAGAATCTAAGTCTCGGGAATCTAATCAAGATTTGTGCGCGAATCGCACATTCCGCGACTAATCCGAGTTTCCACAATCTTCTTGGTGTTTTTTCTTCTTCCTCCTCTTCTTCTTCTTCTTGTTCAAAAAGAGGTAAGGAACGTTCAAGCGTGACACGAGAGTTGGTCGAGAAGACCACGGGAATATTTCATGCAACGGGTGAACGTTTATGGAATCGGGAATAGAGAGATGCGTTTTACGGGACGCGAAAAAGGAACCGGAGCGGGACACCGTTTGGTGGAAGGGTTGGTTCTTAGATAGAAGGTAGATAGACAGAAAAAGAAGAGAAAGAGAGAGAGAGAGAGAGAAAGAAAGGTAGAGTGAGATAGAAAAGAGAGATAGATAGATAGATAGATAGAGCGAGCGAGCGAGCGAGCGGGGCAATGGAGCGGTTACCTTGGAATGCTGTGCCGTCGTCGGTGTTATCGGTGGCGTGTCCTCGGCATCTACGCTCGTTGCGTTTGGTAATCGCTGCTCTTGCACCGACGCCAAGCTAAGCGAGACAGAAATCAAAAACTCTCAGTAAGAGAAAAATATTTTTACGTATATATTTTTAGAACAATTTGCTGGTTATTTTTGCCAGATATTTGCAGCTTCCTTACGCAAATTGCAATTTCGATAATCTTTCGCGATTAATTTATCGAGGTTGAAAATATTTCGTTGAAATGCGTTCTTCCGATTTCAATCATCAATGTGATTTTTAACTCGACGAATTCCATCAAATTTCAGTAAGTAATATCGCGGTGACACTCCGAAGGTGTAAAAAAGTCATACCGTTTGAGCGTTACGAGTGTGCCGGTCAGTTTCTTGCAACGTTTCAACGCAGATTCTAGTCGTTCGGGTTCTTCCTTGAGGAACTTTTCCTCGCGCACCACTTTCTCCATCTCGGAGCTCAAAAAGCCCTTCATGCCCTCTTGCAAACTCGGGAAACGTACTTTCAGGTCGGCCACAGTTTTGCTGGAGAGGAGAATATTGTATTTCCGAATGTAAAATATTATTACTAATGAACTAATTTGACACGCAACACTTTGCGCGATACTTTGCGCCGTGTAACGAACAGACGGATTAAATCGCACGACGATGATGACAACAATCGCGCAAGTACAATTGACTTCGTGCGCGCGCGTGTGCACACAGCTTACCTGGATTTACTCAATATCAAAGCCATGTTCTCCACATCCGACATATTGACACGCGTCTTTCTATTGATCACGTTGCCGCGAAGCTCCTCCACGTTGCTCTCCAGCTCGCTGAAATTCGCAAACGTTCGTTAGCAATCCGGACGCAACTTCAGACCGCGCCTGAAGTGCGCCTGATACTCACGTGAGATCTTTTTCCAGCCTTAACATCTCCTGCTTGTAGAGGTCCTCCTCGCGGCTCAGTCGATTTCTCTCCGCGTCCCCGGCCGTCCAAACTGCGTCTCCTCCCGACTTGAGCATCGCTCTGGCAACAATACAATCAAGTAAATCTTAGACATCATCGAATACATATATTCTAGTTTTAATATATATACATGTATAGAAATCGATCACAAATTATATTTATTATTATTTTTCTTCATTTATTCGCGCGTTGTCGTTTTACATGAAAATTGTTTGAATATTTCGATGAAACGATTGTCGAAATTAAATACCTGATCGTGATGAATGTGTCCCAGATGGTTTCGCGCACCGAGTGAGCCTGCGCTTGCGACATGCGTCTCAGATTTCTCACTTCCTGTCTGAGATCCTTCGCCTTCTTCTGAAGTCCCCTCAGCTGATTGTACATCTCCGGTGTGAGCGCCAAGTCCCTGTACACGTACTGGCCGGCCACCAGCGCGGCCGGTTTCGGCGGTGGTGTCGGTTTGTGCCTGTCTCGCTCTGCAATTCGTCATTCGACGCGTAAGAGACACATCTCCCGCGAAATTTCCGCGATTTGCTTGAAACACTTAAGAGGATTTAAGCTCGGCTCCGCTCTTCCTTCGCGCGAACTTCAGAATGGCAAACAACATTCGAGAGTTGTTGGAAATAATATTTTATCTCAGTTGTCTTTATTAACAAATTACGTTAAGAAAAAAAATCGCGAATGTTGTTTCTCTTAATCAACATGTTGTCTAAGCTATCGAAACGATCGTTTATCTTACCCGTGTTTTTCTCGGCTGAACGTTTTTCCAGGCAAAAACATAAAACGAGTGAATTCTGGGACATATCCTATCTCACGTTTTGCCAACTGAAGTTGCGAAACGATTACCGATTGAACGACGGCGACACGATTTGCCGGGACGGCCGCGGCGTTTCGAGACCGGCACAATCGGCTGATTAAATTTGACGTTCGCCGCTCGACGTTGATGCTGATCGTCGCCGTAATAGTTTCGCACGATAGAAGAGCGGGGCTCGGTAACGAGAGGATAGGACAGTTAAATGGGTTCGGCGACAACACAATTTTTACTGTCACTTTTATTGCCGCGTTTTTATTGAGCGGATGACGAAAGGCACGGCGGAAGAAGGACACAACGGATGACCTAACCGGCGGATGAAGATATCGCTGGTCTTTACGAGAGAGTGTCAAATCGCGTGTATGCGTGTGTTTGATATTATGCGCGTGCGACGTATCGTTTTGCGATACGTACGACACAACTTTGCTTGCTGTTATACGCGCGAGAACGTTTTCGCATGAAGAGCGTAATTGTCTCGCGCAAACAGATGTCTCGGTCGCGGATCGCGCCGATACTTTCAGCGACAACGCGGAGTCGAAACACACATTGCGATTGTAATTTCCTTTGGCATACACGCGCTTCAATCGAATTCCTCCCGACAGTTCCCGACGTGACTCACGCGCGAATTTTCTCGCACTCATCCGAGACATGGAATAATAGATACACACTCGTGAACGTCCATTGAATCCACCTTTTTGCGTCATTAGAATAATGTAATTCGCAGAATCCAATTAATTGTCCTGGTTAACGGACCGTCCGAGACAATTCTGAGCTTTTTAGAGACGCGACGTAAGGAAATGTATTTACGAGAGAATTTAAGATACTCCTCCATAGGTTTTATCCTGATGAAAATACTTTTATTCGAATTACGATTATAAATTTGTTAAAGTGTTTTTGCGAGACTGTTTCGAAAGTCAAATAAATGCGATTCGATAGATTAGATTACACAAAAGAATCGGATTATCTTCCAATTTGTCACAGCTTCACTGGTGTAATCACCCGATGAAATTGGACAGATTTGCGCCGCGCGTACGACAGAACGACCTGCGTGAGACAAATCCAAATGAACTGATCCCGTGATATGCAACGTGACAGTGATAAGCAACGTCGTTCAGGCAGGCAAATAAAAGTACGAGCTCTCCGACATTCGAATCGGATGAATAAAGGATGAATTCTCGCAGGGCGGGATGAGAGAGGATGGCCGTAAGACGGATGTATCGTGACGCTTTCGAATGATCGGCGGCGGCGGCGGCGGCGGCAGATATGCAGCCGTGATAAATCGCTCCGGAGAGAGATGAACGACAATCGCGCGATATCACGCTTGGGCGGAAATTTCAACGAAACGAAGAAACGTATTTGTCACAAAAATGTCCCATAAAATAATGCAGCGTCTTATAAAATAAATCGCGCGTCTTGCGTCCCGTGTGTGTTATTCACGCGAGATAATGCTCGATCTTGTTCGTCGATGCGATGATACATGAATGGCATGAAGAAAAGACTGCTTCGACAATCATCCGATACATGTGAGAGAAAAGCATGATTTTTAAATAAATAAAAAATGTGTGTGCGTGTGCGCGTGTGTATCTCACGATCGGATGAAGTCGCGTGCAGACTTTTTTGCCACTTGGGCGTAACTTCGAGAAGATGGAAAATCTGAGAGAGAGAAAATTCGATCCAATCGAATGAATATATCAGCGCTAAAAAAAACTGACTGCTGAATATGATTGATATGAAGAACCACGGTTTTCAAAGTAACTTCTTTCGAAGTGCGATAACACGCACTTATTTCGGATGAGTTTCACATTAAAAAAAAAAAAAACATGCAAACTCGCTCGTACGTAGCGCTTGCTCGTGCGGTTCCCATTTTCGTCTGAGACCTGAGTTTCCGGGTTCCTCGGCATACCTTGAAAATCGATTTAAACGTGGAAACGAACACATCAACTTCATTTAAAAACCTAGCAACGTCGACGTGCAGCGCTCCGTCTCAGTTTTTTTTCTTTAGCGAGAGAGTGAACTTACAATCTTCCGGTGCCCTCCATACTGGAATCGTCCCAGGAGAGACAAATAGAAATGGAAGAGAGTTCGAAACGACGGAACGGACAAAAAGAAGAAGAAGATTCTATCAAAGGCTTGAAACGACGCTTGTTATGAGTAACATATACATATAAAACACGGGATAAGAGACACAGCGTGACACATAAGGGAAGAAGCGTAGACACTAGAACTGGAACTATTCGGATAACACACGGTGTGTTCCTCGATCTTGCGAATTGTAATAAATATCAGAAAAATAGTTTCAAATATCTTATACAAATTTAATATCTGTCAGAAGATTATTTCCGATTTTGTGTATTGTTGGATCAAAATTTAAATTTGCAATTTCGTATCTTCGAAAGAATATCGAATTATTCTCAGATATATAAAATAAAAAATTTGCCGAGTAGTTCCATTCCTAATTAAAAAAAAACGGGGAAATTTTACCTTGCGACGACATCCTCGGCAACGTGGAGGATTTGATTGCCGGTTTCGTAGGTTTTGTGTCCGCTAATCGTGGTAGGCATTGCAGAATCGTACGAGAAGGCGTTAGAGATTATCGTGTTAGTAGTTTTTTTTTTCGCTAGCGAGACAGGATTGACATTTTCATATCATATATATGATATGATGATTGTTTTTTTTTTTTTTTTTTACTATTGTGGAACATTGTGCCCAATTCCACAGAAAGTTTTTTTATTTCTCTTTACTAATATTATTTTCACACGGTATACTTTAAGGCGCTTATTGTATACCAATCGTGGAAGTGGTGGAAGCAAAAAATATTATTTTACATTTGAAGTCTAAAATCAATTTATTAAAACTAAACTTCTCATTGAACGAAACAAGGAAAATATTTAATATCAGATAATGTTATGGTATTTAACAGAACCATGTAATTCAATATTCTATCAAATAATGAATCAATATCAAATCGTTTTTATATCAAATATCACAAATCTCTGGTGCACAAATGTTCAGAAAGAATCGTCTAACGCGATTGCAGAAACCAAATATGATTCACGCAACAAAATTAACAAGAAAGTAAATCCGCAGATCTCGTAATTACACAAATTATTGCAACTCGTAGCATAACGTTTCAATTAAAATCAGACTACATTGCTCGATATTACCGTGGCTAATTTCCATCCGATTAATACTTATTGCAAAATAGTAGTAAATTACAATGGCCTCATTGCATATTTCTTAAGTTGGTACAGTTACAGTTTTAGCGCTTTGATTGAAAGAAAAATTTAGAAGATCCACAAAGAGATCTCGAGTAGATTATAAAAAAAATATAAAAATCTTAGGATACAACTATGTGACAATTTTGTTGTCACAAAATCTGCTCACGATTTGTCTTTAACATCTACCACTTCCCCGACAAGCAATCTGACGTGTGATTCAGTATTCTGGCCTTTACAGCGTGCTTAGCATACAGTTTGCATTTATGTGACGTGCGCTAGCCATTACCTGTATGTTGCGGGGAATGCTGTTTGGGGGAGTTCATGTCTGGTGGCTCGTCACTGAAGGACACTGACTTTTCAAACGACACCGACTTGTCTGGAATAGGACTTTCATCAGCATAGTTTCGCGTGGTAATATGTGCGTCAAGCGTTATAAGAAGCGTGAACGCAGCGCATTCGGCCGAATAAGTGAATTTCGATATAATGAGACGCACGTGTGCGCACACGTGTGGCTTAGAGACCAGTGCTGGTCTTAAAAATTATCGGTGTTCTTTCTCGCTCAATTGAAAACAGTTGTATTTTAGTATCACGTACTTTTATTAAAATAAATATCTGTACTACATTATTAATTAAATAGATAAAGGAAAATATATTATAAAATATCAAAAACCAACTTTGCAAAACACATATCTATATTTTGTAAAATAACATTCAATTGCATAAACGCGGGATTTTGTGCAAATACCGTTTCTAGACGTTCTTACTGTCACGAGAGAGAACTGTTTTTCCGAGAGACCTTAAAGCCAGTACTGGATAAAACAATCACGACAGTGAACAAAGACTTGTGTGCGCATCGTGCAAACAAAATTCGACTATGATCGCAAGAAAATACGATGTGTCTGAACAAATGCAAATTTCTATGCTTGGGACAAGAATGAAATCCGTTAATGAAAAACGGAGAAATGATTAACGAAACAAAGGAGACAATTGTGCGATTTTATTACATCGACATGAATAACTGTATCACAGAAAAGTAAGAAGCAAAACGAGAACGATTTCTGATGATCAAAATTAACAAAAGCTCGAAATTATTGATAATGCTTACATTGGAAATTTTGTTCTCGATAATGAAATAAAGATCATTGCATTCCGCACGAATGAAAAAAACAAATGATGAGGAACAATGTAGATCAAGAATATGGAATATGTGGGACACGTGCAACGATGATAACGCAAGTGGCGAGAGGCGGCAATGCAGCAAGCATTCGCAAGTGCATACATATATATAATATACAAAAGAAACATTATGTATATTGAAGCGCACCTTTGCCTAATTTTGGTGGTTTAACGTCAGTCCTTAAGTACGAGTCATCTGTAACGGCAGGTTGAGACACTTGAATTTTAGAGGACACGCGTTTAATGGCGGCAATAAAAAAACGTAAAAGAGACAACGTTAAATATATGTAAATATATATAAAAATATATAATATAAGTTATATGCATAAATATACTTATATATGTATATATATAGAAATATATAAGAGAATTTTATATATATATATAGATAGACAGAAAATATATATAGATAGAAAAAATGTAATATATAAATATACGTATATATAAATAAATATATATGTAAATATATATTTATGTAAGTAGAGCGGTTAATACAGTGATTTCGGAGGTGAATAGAAGATAGAAGAAGATGAGAGACACACCTGGCAGTGAGGCAGAGCTGGAGCTAGAGTGTTTGTCGAACTCGTCCCCGGCGCCTGGTGTGTGCGTTAGTCGGAATAACAAAGCAGTTGTACAGCAGGGTTTCAGGAGAGTTCAGTCCGTGAGACTACACACTGGCTTGGGCAACTATATGCCTATATTCAACTCCGAACTGAACTCAATATCCTCGGAAGAGTTTTTTTTTTTTCCGAGACTGTCGCGCGTTCGTACTATTTTTTTGCTAACACATGCAAATCTACGCTCGAGAAAAGGACTCATAGATTCGAACAAAATGAATCGCATTTACGTGGTAACCAAATCTGGTTAAACTGGGATTCGTGAGAAATCTAATGTCTATTCAATTTGATTGCGGGACTACTACGAATTTCTTTTATATTTTTCGAGCTCTCAACTAAATTACAGATAAATTATCAGCTTCAGTTTATAGAAAGCTTTTAATTGATTGTTCGTTGAATTTTTTAATCGTATTTTTATGTGATCGTTCTATTGAATTTGCTCTACCAATCCGTGTTTCCGGATATTGTTATCTAAATAATAACGTCGAAATACTTGCTAGCTTTAATTTTGTTTTGAAAACATGCTATGTAGATGTGAGTAATGGCATATTGTTGCTGGCTCGTAGCTCACGGCATAAATTCTTCCAATAACACATGTTTATCTGCATGTATGTATGCAACATATATGTACCTATACGTATATGTACGTTTTATATCTAAAGTTGTGTTGTCACGGTGATGAAATTTATCTTATATGTGCGACAGGCGACCACGACGTTTATCACATAAATCGCACAACGAAAATGCAAAATAATGTAAATACCAACTCTGTTCATCAATTTTTCATACGTATGTACATCTTCCGTGCTTTTTTGTTTTTTTTTTCTCATATATTTATTTCTACTTCACTCTTCATTTTATTTTTGTTAGTATTATAACATTACAATGTAGTTAATAAAAAAACCTTTTGTCTTCTTATAGGCATTTGTATTGTTTTGCATCTCTTATTCACGATTGCGTAAACTGTAAAAGTTAACATGATGGCCCCATATAAAAAAAAAAAAAAAAAAAAATCGACGTAGCCGCCTTGTTTCTATAGTTATCGACTATCGATCCCGATGCGTTTGCGGCATGATGATGTTACTAAGAACCGTGGTTTCAAGATGTCTGATAGTGGTCGAAAGGCGATGAAGTGGATAGATGAACAGGCACGGATGAAACGGACAGATGAATAGTTAGTAGAGACTACTTTATGTAGGGCATGTCTAGCAGTCTCGAATGCTTCTTAGCTGAAACTATCTTAGTGAATTAAATGTAAAAATGCGCTAATTCTTTTTCTGTAAAATAAGCACTGAAATGTAGAAAAAAGTGAATGTACGATAGTATCGCTCTAAAAAAAAAAAAACGCTATCCTTCCAATTGACAGAAACAAAAATTCCCCAAAATTAAATTACGACTTGTCTCAAAAGTGTCGACAATTGCTTCGCATGTTTTTTTTTTTTTTTTTTTTTTTTTTTTAAATCAAGTAATAAACGTAAAATTTGTATTTGCAAAATTTTCGTAAACACGTTGCTCTTTCAAGACAAGCCTCGTCTAATGACGAATCATGGAGAACCAAAGAGAATGATGTTACTGTGAAAGTGAAAATGGAAAGTACAGAAAGAAACCTAATAGAAGCGAAGCCGCCGAGTTTCGAGAAACACACGTACCTGCGGCTCTCGCGTAAGGATCTCGTCCTGGTGGGACCTGCAAGTATTCGCGCGGCGACGGGCTGGTGTGCGGAGCGTGTGTCAGGGCCTTCTGAACGAGTCCGGTCAAATTTGCCAGTTGTCTCTCCATGTGCTCCACCCTTATCCTGGTGACAGATAATTCTCGATCAGAAAGAACGGTACGATCAGTGATATCCATATTGTCTATAGCTCTAAAGAATTTTGAATTAATCTTTTCGGCGAATAACGCAATACTTGGAAGCTGCAAAAGTGACGGCTTTGCATACAATTTGATCTCCTCTTTCTCAGATGATTCAATGCGTGATAAATATATATATTTAAAGAAATATAAAAATAAACGACAATAACTATAATAATAAAATGAAATATATCACATACAATGATATAATAATAAAATAATGCAGTACATCACATAAAAATATAAAATCATATACAAATAAATATAAAGCAAATTAGTGTTATGACAAATCAACAAAAAAAGAATAATGACACACACACGTGTGTCGTGATTTTTAAATATCTGCGTTTAATCGATATTTCACTGAGCAATAACTTGTCACAGCAGCTTAAATAATGACATTTATATAATTTGATAGATATTTTTTTATATACAACACACTAACAATAAAAATTGATGACAGTTTGCATGCATACTATCTGTTTTCACCGGGAAAGTCACGAAACTTTTCTCGACGGAGAAAACTTCTTTTTCTTTTCTTCAAATCTAAAAAATTTTATCCCGATCGAATGTGTTTCCGTCGGTGAAATCGGATATGAGTTACACATAACACGATGCTAATCACGTGCATCTATCGCTTCGCATGACAAGTGACAGCGGTGCCCAATCTACGTCACGGTGACAGTACATAAAATGATATACAGGGTGATATACGTGACACGCGGCGGATCAGATCGGTTATGTGATCCTCGGCGATCAATTTCGGTTGAATGTAACTTTTGTAAAGTTGAGGTAAAGCGAGTTTATGGCCGACGAGCATCCAGTGTTTCTCAGTTTTCCGATACATACGCACGCACACACACACACTATTCGTTCCAACGTGTAATATCAATTCCGTCTAGAAAGTTTTCACACGAGAATAGCTTGTGACAGCTTCCGAGTATCTTTGTTACTAAAAAATGATTGATCGCGAGTTCGGTAATAACGCGCGCGAGCATATATCACGCGAAATTTTATTATAAAACATTGTATCACTAAACATCGAGAAAAATGTTCACACACGAATACAATCTACACAAGTTGTGAATGCAAAACACAAATGTTTGAAAAAAAAAAAAAAAAAAACATCTATGCTAGTGCAGATTAAGAAAAAAGTTCCTGTGTGAGCGTTGCGCTTACACGGGAGCAATGGAGGATTAAATTCAGACCAAAGATATATTAAAAAATATCCTCGTGATTTTGTATATTCACTTTTTGCGTGCAAGACACCCTGTATATGACCAATGTATTCTCGTCTACGACCGCTAGTCGGCATGCTGCATTCCACAGACTTGCAAAGTCATATATTTCTATATACATACATATATATATATATATATATATATATNATATGTATATACATATAGTATATATGTATCATATATGTTCCTCGACATTAATTATAAATATATATATATATATTTATTCACACATACAATATACACACACACACATCTTGTTTTTGAGCAGTATATGTAGTAGCTTCTCTAGCATCGTGCCACTGATCGATCCAATTTTGCCTCACACGCGAGAGATACGATTCGACGAAATTGGCAGTGACATCCCTTTTGCGATCATTCAATTAAGGTACCCGACTCGCGTACTCTCTACACATGCATTTGCAGACGACTCGTTACTGTGATGATGGTGCTCCCGAATCGCATGAAAAAGGAAGTGGCAGAGTCCGAAGAGAAAACATATATATATCTACCTCAAAGTTTGTAACAAAATTTATACAGGCAATTGAATTTAAATTATGTTTTACAAATACAAACATCCTTAGCGCTCAAATTTAATTAGTCGAAATGACGTGTCGCAAATAAATTGGCGTTTTATTTGTCTGATGATCCAATCAATTCCGGGAAATGAGATTACCTTGAGTCACACGGATGGAGTTTTCAGACGTCACTGATTTAAATTGTTCATTTGATCATATTTGACGCAAACGCGATAGAATAATCGCCGTAAAAGTTTATAAATGTTCTCAATAGTGAGCAAAAGTAAATAGAAAATGTGTCATTAATGCGAGAGAACGGGAGATTAAAACAAACAATTAATATCCGAATAAACGCTACCACTTCCTCAAAATGTGTAGCAATGGACACTGGTCAGTATTGCAGTTTAATTCCACGTTTTAAAAGTAATTAAGTGGTTGGAAATATTCTCATAAAATAACAATTTATGTGAAAGCATTTTCTATCGACCGCCACGCGAGAATATCCCTTTCGATATAAACCGAATCGTATTACCATAAATGAAACGCGCACAAAATATATAATTGTATATGTAACAATATACATGTATAATTTTACACTTATTAATAATTCATAGTATGACAAAGATAAATCTTTATTTATATTTAACTATCAGATAAAGTTTGATAAGTTTTTGAATCTTCTATAAGAGATAAAATAGAAGAATTGTTAAAAAATCTCTCTCGTACATAAAAAAAAATGTATCAAAGTTTCAAAGACAAGAAGAAATTAACTTCAATCCGACATTTCGCTGTGAAAACTCGTACCAAAAATATCCATCACCGCTTTAGTGGCAAATTCAGGCATGAAATAATGACGAGAAGAATCATGTTTAATTACTCATTTTGAAAATACCACAGTAATAATTAACTCTTGTTAAATTTATTCTTTATGTTGGAAATTAAATATTGTGCGTCTTTTAAAAAAAGTTATTTTTGATAAAAACAATAGGCAGTTTAGTTCAGGTTTACTTTTAGAATTAAGGGAGATTTTTGCCAATGTGTGAAGAATCCCGAATTCGCCACTGTTCTGCTTTCGGGGGTTCGGTCGGAACGACACTCGTGCAACTCGTATTCATTCACAAGCATCCAGTCAACCAGCCAACCAGCCGGTAGTGGCACGGTTCTCTCGGCAGCGGTCTCTATTCTCTCTCTGTTTTCCTTTCTTTCATTTTCTCGTTTTCTCTCTCCCTCTCTTTCTCTCTCTTTTTTTATTCATTCTGTTTCTTTTGTTTCGCAGGCAGGCAGGCCTCTACGCAAGACAAGCACGCAGGCGACAGACTGCTAGTGTGTGCGAGAGACGTGGGTGCAGTACCGAGTAGCGTCGTAGCCCTGTCCGCCGGGTGGTAGGGGGGGTGGCGCCCCCGGAGGAAACGGGGACCGCGGGGGACCAGACGGCGGACGCCCCGGTGGTTTCACGCCGTAAAGGCTGTACGATTCCTCCAACAGCTCCGTATCGCTGCACCACCCACAACAGATATACACATCCGCACTATCAGACCATCCAAGTGGTGGAAAGAGCGACGGCGGTTGCGGCGCACGAGTGAGGGTTGGATGGTCATTCGGGAGGACCGAGGGAGACAGGAGAGTGGAGACGGAGACGACAACGTTTCGTTGGCACAGGGGTTGCGACTAGAGGGAGAAATGGCCGGAGAAGTTTCCGGGTGAGCGGAGTTTATTCACCCGGATTTTGCACAACGCGCGCGAAAAAGCGTCGCTTGAATTTATGACGCATCTTTTGACGGACGTGGTCAGTCGGGGAAGGCTCACGTCTTTCCCGACCATTTGCACTCTCCGATTATATTCGGTAATTGCCTGCTTAAATTCGGAAACTGTTTCTACATTATGTTTGAATGGCTTTGTTGATTTATTTTTGTAAGGCTGAAATCGATCGTTTGCATACAAAGTTTGAAGCAAATTGTATATTACGCGATATACACTTGTTTATTGTAAAAATAAACGTAAATTAAAAGGACATCTCTCTATGTTTAATAACGAAACATCGTATTTATCTAAAATATATCTGTTACAATATAACATGGACATACTTTCGTGTCCGTTACAATAATTATAAATATTTTGTTACATATTATAAATATTTTGTTACATATCTTTATGTCCAATGTGTGGAAGTAGAGAGATACATATGGGTATTAAATTTCTCACATAATGCAAAAATTGATGGATTCGTACAAATATAAGAGTAGAGTGCAAAGAGCAATATAGGAAGTAGACAACATGGGAAATAATTTATGAAAAGAAATGCGAGCTACCCCAAATAAATATTTGATCAAATGAATATTTGATTATTATCTCGAACATGTTTTTGCGGTCTCGTGGAAATGTTTTTGGAGTTTAGGTTTTTCTCGCATTGAAGAGCATTTGTAAGGTTCGAAAATTGAAAGATCGAGATAAAAAAACACTGTTGTCGCGATTTTGTATTTAAATTAAATTTACTGCCATAAATTATATATATATATATATATATATATATATATATATATATATATCCTATAAAAAATAGTACATATATTAAATATCTGCACATCAATTTTTATAACGTTTAACTATCGTTTGTAAACTAAAAAAACTATGTCTTTTGTTAAAAGAAAAAAAAAGAACGTTGACAAAGTATGAATGAAATAAATTCTGATGCGGTGCAATGGTCAATATTTAGGTGAGATCACACACTTTTTGCTGCGTAGAAAAGTTAGATTCTTATCGGCGGGACATGAAACAGAGTAAGAAAGATCTGCACACGCTCCGTGCAAAAATATGCAAATTGTAATTACAGCCAGAACATCCGTGTCCCATTAAAATCGTTATGGCGGGTGCAATCGCGAATCGTTACTAACTTCGAATGGAGTGCGCGAAACTCTGGGTTTTACCTGGCTTCTTCGTCGATAGCGGGTGTAACAGTTCCCGAATATTGCGAGTAATACGGATCTTCGTAGCTGCTGCCGGCGCTATAGGGTCCAGGCGGATATCTTCCGCTTCCGGAACCGACGCCACCTCCACGCTCCGGACTGCTCATGTATCCGCTCTCGCCGTGCAGCCGATCTGCGGAGATTTGGTTTGAATGATTCATATTAATTAGATTTCGTCAAACATCCCGTCTGAGAATTCTTCTTTGTATCATCATCCGAGTCGGTATTTACATAAGACCGGGAGGTAGTAGCCAGTTATTTTATATGTACAAAGGAATCTATAAGTAACAATACGGTAAACTGTACGAAAAATATTGACAGAAATTTAAAAAGTTACAGATAATAACATATAAAAATATTTATCACGCAATAAACGAGTAAAGACGTGTATTGTAACAATTAAGTAAACACATAAAAAAATCAATTGTTTTACTTCTATAACGAGTTAATGAAGGATCTGCGATGTAAAGTTAGTTAAGGACATTCTACTTCTAAACGTATAGTGGCACCAAATTGTGAGGGAAGTTCTTATCAATGTTATATCTATTCGTGGCTCGTTATCTCTCCGTCGAATATGAGTTTTGCGCGCGAATGTGTGCAAATGAATATTACGATCGGTAGACCGTATCGATGAGGAAACGTCGTTTATCAGCCGTCGTATGATGGAAGGATGGGAGAAAAAAACGGTTCTTCACGATCGTGCTTCTTACGTATAGGGAGGGCGATACGGCTTTCTCGAGTGACAGCGGGAGCGGATGAAAAATGAGATGAAAGAAAGATGCTGCCTTTCGTATACATTATGATATCACACAGCGCTGTACAAGGAAGGCGACACACGTAAGAAGTTCCTGGAGGTTTCTGGAGACTCTTAGCTCTTAGTGTTGGGAATATATCGAGCTTACCGTAACTTTGTAATAACATTGCAGAGTCACGGGCACTTTGTGCGAGTATCTGAATAATTTAGAAGCGCGAGATTGCTCGGATAATATTGATAGTACAAAGCGGTTATCGTCTGTGTGTTAAACGCAGTTGTAAAACAGAGGTTTCTGGAGAGCATAATGAAAAGGAATTTTTCTCAAGGAAATGAAAAGGAAGTTTTCTTTGTGTGTGTGTGCGTGTGTGTGTGCGTGACACGACAAAATATAAAATACCATCGAGATATGCAAGCAACATGTAATAAAATAGAAAAACTTTAAAAATATTATCTTAACAAACTTATATTTTAATTTTGAAAACAATTGTCGAACTTGGAATCTTCTTATCATTGACAAGTAAGGTGTAATAGCACACAATGGATACTAAATACACATTTCTGGTTACTTCTATTGATGATTAAAAAAACAAAAAAAAACGCGGAAAATAAAGGTATAATGAAGCGCCGAAAAGTTTGATTTTTGTTCTTTCGACCCAATTCCCGAGACAATAGTCGACAGAGGTTTCTTTTTGTCCGGCGCTCGAAGTTCGTCAGCGCGAATTCAAAACGTTTCAATTTCATCCGTCCAATCCTATCTATTCCCAACACTATCTCCACGGTCTCGAGGTCGTTTAATTAAAACTTGGCTCGACCCGGCTTGACTAATCGCAACTGCCAATTTCATGGTTTTCCTGCGGTTACCGCGTCTCGAACAAGTTACCACCCTCGTGCTTAAATCTCTCCTTATTACGGATGAACGATGTTGCTACGTGTCTGTTTTTTACGACGCACTTAAAAATTCGCACTATCTAATTTAAATGTTTACCGTTTCAATTTTATTCTTCTAATAACCGCGCACTTTTTATTGCGTTTTTATTCATTTTCAATAGTTACGGAGATTTATTTGTGCATCACAAATGGACAGAAATTTATCACAATGGCGAAGAGATTTATTTATTTGTCGCTTGAATTGCCGCAATAAAAAATAACAATAAATAACCGTTTATATTGTCGGAAAGTATAACGGGATTTTGTTTTTCTGCGTTATAACCGGATTCTATTTTGCTCTCTCCCTCGAACACACAACTGATAGTGTCGTTGCGCTGTTTCGAAATTTACAAGGCGTACAATCTACAGGCGTATCGTTTCGGGGCAAATTGCATCACGCGGCAAAAGTCCTTAACCGGAAATTGTATAAAACGCGCCACGCAAAAGCGTGTGTGTGTACGTGTGTGTGTGTGTGTGTGCACACGCTGTTTTATCGCGCTCGAATTCGCGTATCCGTTTTTCGATACGCGTTAGTTGCTACGTTCCGTCGTCATCGGGTTACCCAGCTCGAATCTCGATACTTTCTCCGAATTGATAACGATAATTGCGTGTATCGCTTGTAAAAGTTAATTTGACACAATTAATCAACTAATTACAGTTTTTGTTAAAAACATGCTTTTTTCCACAATCATTAATTGTAAGTACAAAAAATTAAGATGCGTATACATCACATGCTGTTAGTAATTAAGTCCGTGTATTTTCAATAAGAAACACATTACACACAAATATTTATTTTTAAAAACACATTTATTTTACACTCATATTCTTCAGATGCAAGTTTTTTAATAGATTTTATTTTGTCTGTAGTTCCTTTTCGAGTCAATTTTGTTATTTCCAGACGAATGGTAAAGCTTGTTTTGTCTCGCAAGGTGTTATTGTCACGCTCGCGAACTCGTTCCGTTCGAATTATTATTAAGAGTTCGGTCGATTGCAGCAAAAAAAAAAAAAAAAAAAAAAAAAAAAAAAAAAAAAAACAGGACGTGTCATATCATACATCGGCGGACACGATTGTCTCACGGTCGCGAAAAGGATCGAGTTGTGTCTGACGAATGTTTAAGGATACTACTGACCTGGTATACTATAGAGGGAGACCGAGCTGTCTCTAGAGAAGCGCGCCGAGCCCCCGAGGCTTCCAAGGGGACTCTTACCACCGCACTGGTAGCTGCGAAGCGGCTTGGCCGGCGGCACCCCGCCACCACCTATCCAACCATCCAAAAAACCAAACAAAAAACCAATGTACCCAAGTGCTCTCCGAGGCTCACGTGTCTCTCTCGTTCTCTCCGCTACCTCGCTTAACCGTTCGACGTTCAGTGCACATGCAGAAGTGAACAAGAGGTGTTTCGATTCGCGCGACGTGGATCCTCTTTTTTCTTTATAAGTAGACTTAAACCGGTTTTGAGATTATTAATAGAATCTGACAAAAATTAGTAACAAAAACTAGCCGGAACTCAAGTTCGAGTTTCTCGTCTTTTTCGTATAATTTAAAAAGTCACACGTGTCTATGATATAATTTGATTCTTACGAAACATGAGATGATTGGAATTAATCTGAACACTTTCTAAACAAGTAATTGCGCATAAGTTTTAAATGGAATGATTAGGAAAATATCAAGAATAGAAGGAAAGATGTGATTTTTTTTCAACAAAAACGATCGCTTGTATACTAAGTGACTGTATGATCGCGTGATTATATGTTATTACGAGATAAAAAAGGTGAGAACTTGTCGACTTTTACATAGATGCACTTCTCGATTATGTCATGATCATGAAAACGTCAAGAGAAAGGTCTTCTTCTTTCAAAAACTGCTTTTGTCTATGAGTGAAAAAAGAAAAAAAATCATTCTTCGAGATGTGACAGCTCAAAGGGCGGTCGCGTTTTTAAAACTTTGCGAAGTGGATCCGCCTCGTCGCGATAACTCGATGATTAATTACGACCGATTTATGGTTGGCTATTCACGCGGTCTGAATTCACTTTTTGTTTTTCGGCAGTTCAGTGCTCGTGTAAAACGTTTCTCTCGACTACAAAGAGAACGCACGTGGCAAGCAGAATGAGGCCATCCTTTCCCTGTGGAAACTAGCAGCAGGCAGTTTGTTAAGTGTTCCTGATTAGGTCTCAAATAGCGCTCATAACCAGCGCGGAGAGACGGTCGTAACGATCTTCGTTCAATGATCAAGTATCGAAACGACCTCACAAACTTGTCGATCGAAAGCCCGAAGACTGGATAGCGATTGCGTGTGTGCGGATGTTATGCGCTCAAAGCACGAAGCACGAGGTGTATGCATTGGGAAAAATTGATCGAGTCGGTAGAATTTCAATAGAAATGTATTAAAAAAAAAAAAAAAAAAACAACTACATTACATTATGTGTAATTTAACAACTTTTATATTGTGTCTCAACATTGTTATTTCCACAAAAGATCTCTCTTTACCAGCCGATTGTTTCACGAAAATTACGTATAAATTGTCATCTAAGTTTCTACGATATAACTTTTATATAAACTTTTATAGCGATATTGATGCAAATACTTTCGACTTCTCGAGTCGATTCGACCAATTTTCAGAAGTGAGACGATCAGGAGGAGTTTTACGTTCCTTTGTATATCGCATATGGATACCGAAGTTATCGATGGATGTAGCATGTCGGCTGCGCATAAGGTGACCAGAATTTTATGTTTTATCTAAAATGTATTCCGAACGCGATCCGTAAAACTCTTTGAAATCACAAGGAGTCAGAGTTTTCAGCTGACGTTCAATAATTCGTCCCGTTTCTTGTGAACTTTATCCCTCCTCTCGCGAAATCCTTTTGAAAAAGTCATATTCAATATTGAAGTCTCGAGAAACGTTTGGAAATTTCGCGGAAACTGTTCTATTAGTTCGGAGATGAAAAATGGAATGTGCTCTTCTACGTCGCATCGATCTCACGATGCAGCGAGATCAAAGAAGCTTCTTCCGAGAATCTCAGGAATTCATCCTGATGCTTTTAAAGGGGATTTCATGTGTTTCTGGTCACCTTAGTCGTAAGATGTACGAGGGAAATGCAGAGTTACGCGGGGGGGCGTGCGCAATGTTTGTTCGATAAATCTTGGAGGAAGGGTGGTCTAAAGTGAAAGAGAAATGCTACATAGACGCTAGAGAGACGCTACTGGGAGCATCAGGCATGAAGGGAATGCATATGGGCGCGAAGCAGAAAATTTACGTTGTGTGAACAGCCCAAAAGTTATCATATCGCATCGTTAAAAAAAGCGTTCGTTATGTTTCGTTATGAAAAAAACAAAAAAATAGCTAAAACTACATGTTATTTTGTGGAAATGTGTCAGAACAAATTTTATGTTAATTTTTTTCAATCCTCTGTTCAATTCTTATGTCGTTGATGACTCACAATAGCAATGAGAGATATTTTTGATATTTATTATGTCTTACACAAGATAACGATTTCACTACTGCTAAAATAAATGTGAGAACTAAAAAGTAGAAATTTGATTTCTAAAACACTATTTGGGCCGCTCATGTGAAGCGTCTCGAGTGCGAGACTCGTCGCGCGTCGTCGATTTGCGTAAAAACCGCTATGTGGGAAACGCGGAATGGGATTGCGGGCCTTCGTATACCTGGCGTAGTGAGGGTTTTGGGCTGCGTCGGCGTCGCGTTCGGCCCCCCGACGACGCTCGACGCCGCGGGACTGTACGCCCTTAGGAGCGGCCCACCGCGCGGCAAGGTGCTGCTTCCGCCCACGTAATATCCGCTGCCCGACGTCGAATTCTTGGCCGTCTGCAAGCAAAAAGAAAAAAAAAAGAAGTTATTTAGGTTAATCCGAAGGCCGGGAAATGACAGCTATTTGTCATTTTTCACGCCGACAAAGAATTTAATCCGCGTGTGTAATAAAACGTCGATGTCATCTTTAATTAAGCGGCGCGATATAATTGATATTGATTGAGGAAGTCATATTATAAAGATGACCAATCCGAAATTTTTCAGGTACGATTAGACCGAGACCGCTATGGCGATGAATCATCACGATAGATGCTTATTCATTCATGTAAAATATATGAGTGTCTCCGAACTATCGCTTTCGCAACAGGTTTCAAGAGTCAGTGTCGTTAACGTTAGCTTTCCAGAACGAATTTCCAATACGGCACTTTTTACGATCACTTAAACGCACGCTATTTGTATTATGTCGGTTAGGTCTCCACTTTCCGACACATACAAACTTTCATCAAGCATAAAGAAAAATGTGTTTAACTTTTTTGCGAACCTCAGTTGCAGCATGACTAAAAATCTTTCTCTGCGCTATAAAAAAAAAAAAAATAATATACAACATTTATAAATAAATCATGATAAATATTTATAATAGTTTATTTTTTGAAATGTCATTAGTAAAAGTAAAATCCTGAAATGTTTCTTGTTTTTAGCTTTTATGAAAATGCGCTCTGAAATGTTTATATTCGCGATGAGATGAATTTGCAATTCCGCTCTTGCTCGCAACATGGAATGCTTAAAGTATTCACCGGTGCCGTCTTGTTATTTTGCGTTGCATGTCTCGTCGACTTTCCACGAAAGATCAGCTTTCTCATATCGATCGCGGAATGTGTGATGCACAAAATATATATTAGCGATCCCGCATATACCTATCGCACAAATATATACGGTTAATAACGTAAAACTTTCACGAATTACCACATCAACGTTGTACAATAAAACTATCCGATAAGTTATTTAATAAGCCGAACTTCGATTGAAACTGTTTATTACATTAAAAAAAAAAAAAAAAATTCAAAAATTAAAAGAATAAGCAAGAAATGAGTTGAAAAAAAATAAAAATTTATTATTTTCAAAACTAAATAACAAAAGTAAAGAATTGATACTTTTTTCAAATTGAAAAAAAGTTTAAAAATCGTTAAGTTAAAAAAGTTGGAGCTATGCAGCATAAACTACACCGCAAAAGTTTTATTTGTTCGAAGCGTGCATACGTTCCGAGCAAAAATCCTGCCAGTTCTTAGTTGGATAGCCGGTTTCGCGGTATATGGGCGATCATCAACGACGACCTGCATTCTCGTCGTACGTTCTGAATGGCAAAAGTAAGAAGTCATGCCCGGTAACTAAAATGGGTTACCTTAACCCACGACTGTGCCACAAGGCTTCGCTCCCTCTTACCGATTCTGTTCTGGCGAGCTCGCACTCGGCCGCATCGATTTCGCTTTAGTCGTTGTTTACCATCGCCGTGAGTTCGGCTGGCCGTCTGACTCGCCGGAAGAATTGTCTGAGAAAAGGGAGAAAAAGGAAGATTCATCTGTGCGCCAGAGAATCAACCGATCCGAAGCGAGCAACTTTTCTTTTTTTTTTTTTTTTTTTATCAAGAAGAAGTTTTCCGAAGTTCGAAAAAAATCTCTCTCCGCGAAGAAGAAAAGAATTTTCTCCTTGGAATTATTTCGCTCCCAGACGATTTATGTGTATCCTCCTCTGTGGTATAAGCAACACATCTTAACCCACCGCCGAGAGGAAAGAAAAATAATTGCTTTTCCAAGCAAAACGATCGTGTCATTGAACGAAAAGAGAAGCGAGACAAATATTCCTTCTGTTTTCTCTTTTGTGAAAAATATAAAGAAAACTCGGACAGTTGTCGGGGAGTTGTCGTTTGGTGTGCTTTTGATTATAGAGATCATCAAACGCGAAACTCAAGTGTACCGTCGAGGCATCTTTTGAGCGAAAACGGAGGGTCGAGCCATCGTTGCGTTTTATGCTTTTAGTCGTGGAAAGCTGTCACACGCCAAGCGAAGATATAGTCGGAGCGAAGTATCTTCGTCTTTTTCAGCAATCGCGTCGAGTGTACCGCCAAAGTGTACATCGCGTTTAAGGTTCAGTTCTTTTTTTTGCTCGCGTTCGCGAGTAGTTGCCGCGGAGTAAGAGGTTTTCATTTTTCAGCGAGCGAAGGAAATATCATTCAGAGCTGTTTTCGCGAAAGTCGAAGTTTATTTTCGAAAACGATATAATAACAAGCGAATGACATAGAGAGAAGATTACCGTGTCGTTGTTTCGAGCGCGCAAGGTGTCAGTCAGCGAGTGAAAGATAAGTTGCGAGGAGAGAGAAAAAAGTTGCGCGAGGAGCAAAGTGAAGAAGAAATCGACTGATAAAAAATCGACACGGCAAGTGCAAGAAGAAACAGCGAACAGAAAAGAGATGCCAGGTAGTTTTCCGCAGTTTGACGAGAAGGAAAGACGAGAACTCGAATCTCCGTGTGTAAAAACGAGTACCAGCAGACGAGTGAGTAAGTTAGTAAAGGAAAAGTTGAGCGGATAACGCTGCAAGACAATCCTCTTTTCGTGAGCACGATCAGATAGACGTGGGATAAGATTAAATAGAGGAAAGGCCGGAGCGAGCAAACCAAGAGATAAAAAAAAAAGAACAGAAGTAGAAACCTTCTGTTGTGAATAAGTAAAAGGCAAAGGCGGCGTACAGAAAAAAAAAAAAAAAAGAATAAACGAGAAACTCTTGCCGCGAAGCGATTAAAGAAGTAGCAGTTAGAAGCAACGAAGGGCAATGATCAGATAAGAATGAAGAAATTCGTAACGAACTTCGAAATTAGCATTCTCCCTCTTTCGTTCTCGATCCTTGTGAGCTTGTTCGCCGTAGCGGTTTCGGGAATATCGACTAAACTTGTCGATATTGAGAGGAATGTCGTCGGCACGCCGATGCACAGCGTCCAGATGACGCAAAAGAACTACATTCAGGTGAGAGGCGCGTGCGCGAATGCGGAGAAAAGTTTTGAAAATTATTTTTTGAAATTAATTTTTAGAATTAATTCGCGCTGCTTCCTGGTGTACTTTGTTATTTAACAATCAAATATACATGAAGAAACACGCATGATCACAAACCGTAAAAGAAATTTTAATTCAATGTATAATGATTTTACATAATTTGGTTTAGTTATTTTAAACGCGAGAAGAACTTTCTTTTAATTTGAACGATATACAATTGAAATATCTCATATATACTATGTATTCTAAAATAATAACTATAAAATTTACGCAATTAAGGTTTTGTTCTCGCATTGTTGAGTAACGCGATTCCTCGTAGGAATTCGCCTCTAATTGCTAAATAGCTTGTAGTAATAGTTTAAAAGATAACTAATTAAAGTTTAAAGCCACGGATTGCGCAGTGAATCCGTGCCGCAATCCGTGAAATATTTACTGAAAATGAAAAGTTAACAAAATAAATCAATATATTACCAAATAAAAGCGGCACGCACATGTTTTTAACGAAGCGTGAAAACTCGCGAGATTTCTAACGATTACGTGAGCAACAAACTCGGTCTATTCCACGTGCAAAAGAAATAAGTTTCACGCTTATTGCTTAATTTTCGTTGACCATTCTAAGAAAATATCGGTCGCGATCTGCATACTTGTTTTTACACATCTGTACCGATCCGAATATCCTTCACTATTTTTGTCAGCAAATATTTGTGTGTGAACGATATGTAAGAAAACATTAAAAGAAAGAAATATGTCTTTGGCAAAATAGATAAAAAGGTTTGCAATAGTCGATTCTCTTCGTCGTATTTGCAGTTAAACTTTTTAAATTATAATCAATGATTAATAAAATTAAAGGTTACAACTAAGGGCGCACTTAAAAAAAGAGTGTGCGAGATTTCAGAAAGTTGTTTTGGCAAAAAAACAAAAGTAACTTGAAGTTAATTAGAGAATTCGCAGATACACACAAATAAAAGTGATGACAATCTGCGATGTCTAGTGCATACATAAGCATCGTTGTAATTAGACAAGCAGCGCACGCGATGTTGTTAGCTAATTATTCTCTCACTGTTCTCATCTTTCAGTTTCTCAGATGGGAGTTGCCGGTACCGGAGATCCATGAATTTACATTTTGCCTTTGGGTGAAGTCGACTGACCTCAAGCATCATCACTCGATCTTTTCGTATTCAAGTGAGTGATCTCAAATAAAAAAAAAATCAACACACATCAGTTTTTACTTTATCATCTTGCAATTGTCGAGCGCAATTTATATGCATACCGTGAAAAGAATATCGAGATACAATTACCTACCGTATAACAAATAGCGCAATCCATATTTCGCAAAATAGAAAAATAAAAATCCATTGTTTCGCAATTTATTCAAAGATATGCATTACATGCGCCTTGCGTTATATCGAAACAAAAATGTAATATTCTGCAAACGATAGATAAGAACGGCGTTTGCGTTCGCATCTAAACGCTCCGTTTCGTCTCTTCGAAATTGTTTTAACCGCTTTGAGACAACGACGAGAACTCTTTTCTTTTACGTTACTATTATCCAAGCATTCACTTGTGTACTTACTTACACAAGAGTCGTTCACCGTGTGAGAGAGTCGGCGGAAAAAGTGTCTTCGTTTATATATGGAAAACGCGTTCCATCTCTTCGCTTGTGCGCCAGTACATCGCATGCACTGTCTCGTTGCAGTTCAGTAACATGTTAATGACCGTTTTGCCCCGTGGCGGTACTCTCTTTACGTGCGAGAATTAGCGCTACCGGTTCCGCTACTGGCGTAACGCCAATTACTCGAATTACAAAATCTTATTGCTCACCGATATCTGGCGTAAGCGGAGCTTGAATATTCATAATGAGGTTATCGAGAGCTGTTTCATTTTTTTGTTGTAATAAAAAAAATGCTAATCTCTTCGTATAATGTGTTCGCGAGAAATCACAGAAAATAAATTTTTCTCAAATAAACAATCACGTATTTACACGTGGATTTACACGTGTGGCCTTGCGCTTTTTTAAGAAAATTTTGTAATTTTCTTTCTTTATTTTTGAACAATAAATTATTTATATTCGAAAAGTGAATATAAATATCTGAAGATGAAAAAGTTAAATAAATTATCTCTGAAAAGATCGCGTGAGAGAAAGAAAACAATGAGAGACAAAAGGAACAAACATAAAAATTGACTTCATACATATCTCGCAACATCTTGAAGAGAGATCGCAATACACAAACATAATCCTCTTTCGTTGTCAAAGGGAACGAGGAGGAACGTTTGATTCGATCTTGGATATCATCGCGCGGAAGAAGCATTCATCTGGAAATCAATGGCGTGGAGATATTTCGAAGGCCGATGCGCGTACAAGAGCATCGCTGGTATCACATATGTCAAAGCTGGGAGAACCGGGTCGGTCGTTACGCCCTATGGGTCGACGGACATTTGAAGTTACAAGGTCGCTTCGAGAAGGTGAGTTGTGATACATCGATTCGCACACACAAACTTTTCAAAGTAAGACCATTTTTCAACCTCATCTAGCCGGAATCCAGAATTCCGCTTTGGACTCTCAATCATTTTTCTATTTTCTTTAAATAGAGAGAAAATTCTTGAAATTTCTTTGAATAAGAAATCCTTCATTATACGGAATTGTGAACATGAGAGAATTATTTGTTTGACAATGTCTTTGCAGATGATTGATCACGTAATTCCGGGAGGTGGCGATATCGTTTTGGGTCAAGAATACACGGACTTCAATAAAGGTCTCGAGGAGGGTATCGAGGGTTCGGTTTTGGGGTTCAATCTTCTGCTGGCCTCGGCGTTCGATTCTCTCGACGACGACCAGTGGAGAAGGCTTTCATTCCAATCGACTGACGAAGCCAGTCGCGATGAGCAGGCCGCGATTCCCGCGAAAACACAGACGAAAATAGCGATCGAGCACGACGCGGATTCTAGAGAGACGCGTACACTTGACAGACTCGTTTCCGTTCGATTCGCACTCAACCCTAATTGGTCCCGAAGAATTTTATACAGCAACGACACGAAAACGACGAAGATTCCCGCGTCACAGCAGCTGCGAAATAACGGCACGCGAGAAGAAAAAGAAGAAACACCACCGAGTCGCAGACACGCGATCGTCCTCGACGACACGATAGGTGAAATCGACTTGTCGGAGAAATTGCCAAACGCCGCTTTGGGTCTGCAATTGGTGAAGCTGTCTTATGTCTACTGTCAGCTGGGCAGAGGCAGTCCACCGATTGGCGGTCCACTGATGCTGATCTCATGGAGCAGAACACCCGTGCGAGTATTCGGTGGTGCCATCATAAAAAACGTCGGCAATGAGTGCGGCAAATTCTGAGGCAGTTTTCTCGAGCATTCACGCGTGTGAGACAAAGAAGATGAAAGACACGTGCCTCGTCAGCGGGAACAAGATAAAAATTTCCAACGCGAGTAACGCTTATATGTAGGTCGTAGGCATTTACTCAAAATGTAACACTCCGTAATTGAGTTGGTGCCATCGTAACGAGTCTAACGTAGCCATTGATAGATTTTAATTTTAGTTTTTAAGTTAAACTTATATAATTTTTACTAGAATAAAAACTGTTATAAAAATTTTCTGTGGTATTTTCAGAAATGAAAATAATTGCACAATAGAGCGTGTATGCACGTTAAACACATGCCATACTATATTGTCAGCATGTGACTAGTGTCGACATGTAATATAATGTTGTCAAACTCAATATTAAAAATTAAATTATTAAAAATTAAATTATTTCACTTTAGAAATGTGTTATCCATTTGTTTTTTATCTTTTGTAATACTGATGGCTCTCGTTTTCGTATCGGTTAAACTGCGAGTACAAAGCTTAAAAAAACAATGCCGACAAAAAATGTTGCAGGATGTCAAACGAAACGCGCAACGTTGTACCGTTTTATCGTTAAACCTGACTTTCCATCACAATGCGTGTTACTAACGCGTGACTCTTGTGATTGCGCAATTTTAATGTTCAAAACCACGCGTTTCTGACCGCGCAGGTCTTCCCGCGTTTTACGAGTGGACGCTTCGCCGCTCGCAAGCGATTTCGTTCCACTTTGCGTATCGATCCACTTTGTGCGTTAATTAGTTTCAACGGAATTCTCTCGAATACGGAGGAGGAGGAGGACGGAAATGTCCCGCGCCATCAAAAACCGCTATATACTCCTGGCGAAGTTGTCGAATATCAACGGCGTAGCTATACCGTATAATAAATATAAGAGTACGTTGTACGTTAAGCAAAAATGATTAAAGTACGAATTAACAAATTTATCGATTAATCAGTGAAATAATCAAAATGAGAAAAAAACAATTTCTTGATAAGTTTTTTTTCGGATTTCTTTGAAGCGTTTTAGTAAATTCAAAGAGAAAAGTCCCAGCTACGCCATTGTCGTTTCAGCAGCGGTGTTCCTTTGTGAGCAGAATTCGACGCTGACATCCCATGGATGTGGATATTCCGCTGACGCTGATAACGTCGACGAACGAACGCGGCCGGCTGCGTCTGAAGATCCGGCGCGGCCGGAGGCGCTTTTCTTCAAGTGCGGAAATTCCGGTGCGTCTCGCAATCCTGATTGCCGCTGGCGAACGAAATATGCTGTCAAATCACGATGTAACCCGATTCCTCGCTCTCGCGAGATGTAGTCATACGTTGTACGTCGTATTCGCAAAATGACACAACACTTGCGAAGAACAGTCGTCGAGATCAAAACTACACATGTAACGTATCCAATTTTAGCAACTTTTAATTAAGTCGCACAATGCCACAACGACCATTATATCACACTCAGCGTAAGCTACAACGAGTACAATGCCAAACAGTTCAGATGTGGAAATTACATAAAGCAAATTACATCAACTATGCGTTTTCTCCGCTTTATTTGGAGAATTTCGTGCGTTAATTCTCAAAGGCGCTCGTTTGTGTGCAGCCTCTTTCTCAGAACCAGTGACCATTTGAAGAGCGTGTATATTACGTTTTACTAGGCACGCGCGTGATGGCATTTGCTAATAAAAAGAGAAAAAACGGAGCGCTCAGTTCTCTTGTACTTTCGCCGCGTGAGGCAACGCGACAAACAGTTTTTTTCTATATTTGATGAATGAAAGATTAAAATATAAGATTTTTTAAAAATAAAATATAGAAGTATATAGGTTTTTTTTAGAGAAAGAGAGAAAGAGAGAGAGAGAGAGAGGGAGCTTATACATAATAAATATTTATTAATAAATTATTATCGAACCCCGATTGAGAGAGAGATAGAGTCGCCGAGAGTTTATATGAATAATGTATCGTATTAATCTCACCCGGTGTGCTTCGGTAGTCCATTAAACACGAGGATTTGGCCGTTGTTCAAGTTGTTAATGAACGCTGATATTAATTCAAGCGTGCGCGCTTGCACGTGCATGATATCTCATAATCTAGTGAACTGTAAAGTCGTTAATATCTTTATTTCTTTTTACACAACTCACTCATAATTTTAAATGGTACTTATATAATTGTTATTTATAATAAAGAATAAAATTACAATTACAAACTAAAACGCATCTAATTATGTTTTGTTTGCAGTTAGTTTCTTAAGATAATATCGTACTTTGTATTAATTACAACATTGCGTGACACTGTAAAAGGAATTTAATTGCTCTCTGTCTCTCTCTTTCTCTACTTTTATAACGTTTTTCACAAAAACAAAGAGATCTCAGATACGCAATTATGCAAAATATAATTCACGCTGTTACAACATTTGCACGACATTGCGATCCTCGTGTCTGTCTAAAATAACCGTCGTAATACGCGTACATCCGCGTAATAATGACAGACTAGAAGTTATATAACGCAAAACCTGTACACGGTGTATCCGCTCATCCGCATCCGCTATATACCGTACGAACAAGTCTAACCACTTTCGCGTTTGTGATTGATAGGAGTTAAACTTCGAGATCAGTTACTGAGATAAATCAAGTTTTAATAAAAGAGAATATTTATATATACAGAAAACACACAAAAAAACATCGATTATTATTTTATCAAAAGGAGATTACAAGAGTTGCAAGATTATTACTTCAAAAATATATTTCACAATAAACAAATGTAATCGTTGATTTCACTTCTAGTGTATTTTAAATTTACAAATAAAATACAAATAAAATAATCAAACATAATAAATAACATAGCACCAACATAACAATAATAACATAATAATAATATATAATGTATTATAAATTATATTAAACTGTGTAAAATCCCCGGATTTCCGTAAAATACGTTTTATAAATAATTATTTATGATAACCAAACAAATATAGAAAAATATGAAACATCACATATACAAACTTATCACGAGAATATAAATGTTATGTTACAAGAATATATGTGTATATTACTATTTTTGTATTAATCAAGATTAAACATGTCACGTTTTATGCACATCACGTTTTCTAGGTTTTTTTCCCACACTTTTGTAATTTGCATAAGTCATAAAGTCATATCATAATCGTAACACGGTACAATATCTTAAATTGTATATGTGTGTCATATATATATTTTTTCTGTTTCTACTCCTGAAGCTAAAATTACGCTTTCACTTTCACCAAAATCGCTCGTATCGCTCGTATCGCATTTGAGATCGCGGGAGCAGTTCCCTGTTTCCATTTCAATAGACAATATTTTTTTTTTTTTTTCACATTCTCGTAGCTCTCGTAGAATCATGTTTGTTCATTATCGTTACATGTTTCGCATTGAGCACATCCCAGTTACATCAGATAATAAATTTGTGCTACACAACAGGCGCACGTTCAGTGTCAGATGATGTAACTGTTATTTAAATAAAAAATTTCACGTTCAAAGTACTCGATCTATCTAAACGTTCATTTTTAAAGTAATAAATTTTTAAAAGCCTCTTTTAAAACTTCTGTTTATACAACACATTAATTATTTTTAAGTTTTCTCGATAGACCAATAATATCTCTTCCAAAAGATATACGTGTCTTAAGAAGTCAAAGAACTTTTACAAGGTTAGGTTGTAGGTCATAAAAAGAACGAGTTCAAATTTTTATGACTCAAAGGATGACGAAAAAGATGAACATCGAAGAGCTGAGCTATGTAACACATATTTTTTAAATGCTCAGTAGCAATGAAAGTTTATATATCTAGTAGTACAGATTTAAAAAATGGCTAATATCATACGACAGATGTATAATTATCTATAATAGTTTTAATGGATTAATATTAGAACGTATAATTATGCGATTGCATTTACGTTTAAAATCAAGAAAGTACGTTCTTTTTTCTTATTTACGCACGCATGCACGCACTCCGGCGTCTCATAATTTCTTTAAAGACTCATCTGGTAAACTCAGGGAGTTACCGCAGCCTCGTAATTACACGGTGCGAAATCGCCTTTCGTTTGTCGAAGCGGAGTCGTCCTTTCGCCGTCGGTTTCTTCCGGTATCCGATAAAGAGAGAGAAAACGTTTCGGACGGAAAAGGTGAGAGCGGGGGACGAGAGAGAGAGAGAAAGATCTGCATTTTTTCGAAACACCTAACGTTTCCCGTAACTTTCCGTCTCCGAGCACAAATAGATACAAGTACGTACGCAGATTGTAGACGTTTGTAGACTTTCTTCCGACTAGATATCGCGTCGTTGTTCGTTTTTGCGCGCAATAACGCGCGCGCGCGCGCGCGCAAGCTTAGAATTGTTCAAGTTCGAATAACCGGCTATCGGATTCGACTGTGTGCCAGCTCTCTATCTGTACACGTAGCATTTTCAATTTTCTATTCATGTTATTCATAGTATCTCGAGCGCGATTTTCTCGACGAAGTAAAAGGCGTTTGAGATTAGTTTGTCAGGCGCAATCAAAGAGAATATCTTACACGCCTGATACGATGAAAAATGCAACGGGAATAAATATCTTTTTAAATTATCTACTAAAAGCACTCTAGTTTTAATCCTCACTATACACTTTCGAGCACATTATTTCTTTTTCACATTCTGTAAAAAGGAGAGATAATGCGTTTTCTGCAGCTGAGCTAAAAAATATGATCTTTAAAAGCGGATAATAAGAAAATTAAGATAACACCGTTTCAGCAATACTTTAATACCTTTGACGTGGCCACGGCCGTTTCAATATTGCGGAAATTTTTTTCCCCGAAAAAGAGGAGAGGATTCGAGAGAGCGATTTTCACTTTCGCAACTTTTCTATTTGTTTTTATTCAAACGAAAATACACACGTATGCAAATATACAGATAAGCTTTCCTACGTGAATGTAACGGGAGCGTGTAATTACTTTTCATAATGAAGCAAACAAGAGATGCGTAGGCACGTAAAAATGAATTTTATTCTTCTAGAAGAGAGAACAAAATTGCTTTGGCACGTAAACAAAAAAATTTATGTGAACGGAAAGAAAAAAAACTCCCGTGCGCAACGAGAAAATCTTCATGATACTTCCGAAAAATAGACACAGCGAGCTTGTAATTATGTTATTAGCACGCGCGCTAGAATGAAAAGTAGAAAATTTAAATTAATCGCTAAAGACGCTGACATAATCTCGCGCATTTGTTCAACTTTGTTTCTAATCCGGAATATCTATCAAGGAAGGGATCGCGTTAATTAGCCCGCGTAATTTCCCCAGGTGTAAGGTTGTAATTTATTAGCGAGCAGGAAATAGGCAGTGTTAATCCTATCATT